TAGCCGGTCTTTGGGGGGTCCATACAAAGTAATTAAAGATGAATCCCCTAACATAATTATAAAAATTAACAATAAATTAGTAACTGTGCATAAAAACAGAGTGAAAAAATACAGTGCATAAAAAAGAGACTGTTACGTGTAGTGTTATGTAAATTTAATTATAATAGATTATAGAATTTAAGATTTAATTGTTATAGAAATGTAGTGGAATAAATAAATTTAACATGAAAATTTAAAACATTAAGATGTTTAAATTTTCTTTAACAATAAGGGAGATGTAGTGGAATAAATAAAATTAGAATTAGAAATTAATTAGAAATAAGTGTAAATTATAAAAAATAGCATAAGTAGCATTAAATAAAAGACGATGAACTGTGCGGCTCGTGGAGTAAGCATTTTTGGTCGTTGACCGATTGCCTAATTGATGAGCACGCACAATGAACCGTTTGAATATTGTAATAATTAATATTGCAAGGAGTATTATTTTAGCTATCAATAAAGTTAGTTGTTAAGCAAATTATTTTATGGTTTTTAATGAAACAAAATTAAATATCCTATATGAAACCACAAAAGGGACCAAGTTATTACAAGATGAAACTATTCGAATATCTCATTGTGGCTGTCACTGCAAAACTTGTCTGTGTCTATAGTAAGATTTTTGAAGTGTTTCCAGTACTTGTATTCCAAGGTAAATATAAAATGTAGAAATCTAAAAATTTATTGTTGTGATGCTCGAAATTTCAACTTCTTTCAATCTTAAATTATATAAAAACAAATTGTTTAGCTTATTTTATACATGTTTTTTTATAGCCGTTTTAATCTACAAGTTGTCATCATCGTTTGAAGCAGATGATGAATCAGAATCATGCCTAAATAACCAGGAGAACAATTTTGCCAAGACATTGTCGCAAAAAAATAATGCCATACATTTAATTACATACCTTGGTAAAATTAAGAGTTAAAGTAAATAAATAACATCGTACCTTAAGTGAATTTTAGTTAAAAATTATAATTTGAACTTACTCAGAAGACATGATGAATAAGGTAATGCAGAATCAAATTTATCAACTGCTTTTTTTCGGTTTGAAATTAACCAGCTCGAAAACACCTCGAAGTACGTTACAAAACCAGAACTTCAAATGATCAAGAATCTATTGCGGATTGGTTCTCTACAAACAGGTGTTGAAGTGGGGATAAGTTTCCGTTACGAAATAAAATGCTGTAAAGCAGATTTACATGAAAATTTTCACTCTTGCTCACTAGATGGCAACTTTAAAGCTACAAAACTTTAAATGCATGAAATTACTTGACGGTATTTAGATTACCTTCTATTCTTTTAGTGTATTGTATATTTTGTACTTGAAGTTTTTGAAGTTGTCACCAGTCACACTGAAATAGAAAGATCTGTTATTATGACAAGATAATAAATTCACATTATTATTTTAGTCTTGTATTATAAATATTGAAACGTGAACGTATACTAATGATTCGTACACATAAATAAACATGTATCCTTTGATTATATCTTTGTTTATAGAGAATATAGTTAGCTCACGAGATAGAAAGAATTGGCAACCCATAAAAGATTTAATTTTTGATGTCGCCATCTAGCGATTAAATCTGTTTTTATTTTTATATTTTAACGAACAGTGTTCCATCTAGGAGTTAAATCAGATAATAAACCATTAACAATTCCACATCAAAATATTTTACAGATGCCTACAATGAACTTTAAAAAAAGCAAAATTAATCGACTGAATATAAAATTAAATCAATAGTAAATCGAAAATTGTAGGTAATTAAGACCATTCTTATCGAGTAAGTTCAGTTATGTATGTACATTGGTATTAATCTCGGTCGGCGGCTCTATCAATCAATCGATATTTCGATATTTCGTGTTTTTAGGTTTTAACACTTTTAACGAATACATCCGGGACAGGCGCGTATGGGTGTACTGGTTGTTTACTGCACAGGGACGGTAGGAAAATACAGATTCGCATTTTGTTGAAATTAAGCAGGATTGACGATATGAGTACATATATATTTATGTATATATATATACATATATATATATTTTTTTAAACAAAAATAAAGTAAATTTTGGCAATGTAGGGAAACAGGTATGTAGCAGTTGGTAACACCGGAACACTTGAAAATAGAAACTTTGAATTGACAATTAGAAACTGTCAAAACACAAAATATATTCACCTGAAAAAAATGTTTCATGTACACCTCCCAAAATGAGAGAAATTGCTCAGAGTCAATGTCCTCATCATTGTGGACCTTGTATTGAATGCTAAGAACGTGTTTAAACATCCATAGAAACTATTTTCAGAGACGCGTTTACGCAAA